AGGATCCAACCCCCACTGATCCAGCCCCCAAAACGAGCACACTGAATATATATATATATATATATAGTGTATATGTATATGTATACGTATATGTATATGTATATGTATATGTATATGTATATGTATATGTATATGTATGTACAATCTGTAATAGACGACATAGACGACACTACATTATATTGTTGTAATACATGATATTTTTCACAATTAGCACTGTTTGAAATTGTTGACACAACTGCTGGTGTTGCTGCTGCTTGTTGTTGTTGTATTATCTTGTCGTCCAAAATATCATATTACGTCATATTGCCGTATATTACGTTCGATTGTACTATGTTGAGTTCTATCATATTGTATCAAATTACATCATAGCACAATAATTTTGTAACATGAAATGCTCTAATACGATACAGCCTGATACTGCCTAGTATGTACAATCAAAAGCATACTCTAAGGCAGTATACGCATACATAATACAGTCCGATCTGACATAATATCGTATGACATAATACAATGTTGAACATTGGATAGAACAGAATGGAAAAGATGTGAACCGAGTTAATTAAATTAAACACACTAGTACTTCTATTGTACGGTACCTGTACCTGAATATAAACATGAACGTATACCCGTGTATGTACATACATACATATAATATATGTATGTATATATATATATATGTATTTCACTAGTTTTGTCTATTTAAAATGTTTATATATTGAGATATTTATTTCTACTTGAACAACGGAAGCTTCATTTCCTTACGGCCTGAGGCTTCGGCTGCTGGTTTCTCTCGGAAAATATGCTGCCATTGTCCAGCCTGCACCAGAGAGCTCGGATGCAGGTTGGTTCGAGAGTGTGTGCAAGTAAGTACGTGCCGCTAAACATGTACCAGCATCTGTTGCACGTCAGTCGGGGTCCCCAAAAACAATCACGTCGTATCCCTCTAACACGATGAATTCGTCGAAAAGTTCGCCGAACTTTTCGCAGGAGGTGTAGTTGCATAGTCTAATGTGACAGCAAATTCGGCGATGCTATGAGATGGAGCGAAGGGTGCAGGACGGGAATCGGGTGCCATGGACCACGGACTTGAAACTCATTGAAGGATGGCGGTCGTGAGAACGAGGGGGTGCAGCAACATATTTGGGCATTTTGAGGAGGAGTGCATGCCCACTATTGCGAGTGCCCTTCCGGTGGACTGCTGCACTTTCCCCGGGCTCTGCAAAATCTGCAGAAACCACTCCAAGCGCCTGAGCGCAATCTCGTGCTGTCGCTGACATTGTGAGTCCGCACCCATGCAATGAAGAGTGCTTTCAGGTTTTTTCCTTCTTGCGAGTTCAAAAGCAAGCTCCGATACAGGCATCTTCTATCAGTTTGAAGGCCGGAGCCCTAACACCCTACACTCTCGACCCTCTAACCCTACAAAACCCTAAATTCTGCAGACAACATGCTTCAAGGTCAAAGCGTCCGGGCCTGAGCGCCTTCACAGCCTTTGGCCCTCTCGAACGAGATGGGAAGGTCCCGGATCGTGGAACATTTGATCGCACCTGTCTGGAGCTCGCATCTCACGTCTTTGGGGGATGACGACCAAATCAGGAACAAAATTCAACAAACAGCGTGGTCAATTCTGGAACCGGAATTCGGGGAAAATCGAAATTCTGGAACTTAACTTGTGGACTGCCTGGTCCAATTCCGGAGCTGGGACGACCCAATTCGAGAACCTTGAAATCGAAATTCAGGAACCAGTGGGTCAACATTCAGGAACCAATGAATCTGTTCGGATACGATGCTTCAACACAGATATCAGATATGAGGGTTGTTCTACATCCTTGTTCCACGCACGCCAATTAGGATCCCTCGATCGCGCTTCGCCCTTGTGCTTTCCTTGGGCGTGCTTGCGCACGTCTACGGTTTGTTACAGTGGCTTGTTGACCTTTGGCGGTTTCGAGTCTAAGCTTCGTCTGCGGGTAAAACACTGGGGCTTCAAAGCTCATGAAGTTGGCTCTAGAGGCTTCAGTAGCAGAACCTGAACCTTCTAAAGCGCTGAGCATCACTCTTGAATCAACCTTAACAACAAACCTTGAGCATAGCTTGCGCTCGCACTTGCGCGCCGTTGCGCGCGATCGAAATGGTGTGCACTTTTTACCCGACCGAGTTTTCGCTAGTCGCCCTAGTATTGTCAAAAGAACCCACCAAAAAGAACAACGCTCATATATAATTCCGGAACACATGCACTCGTGCATTTCGGCCACGCTGCTTCAAGTCAGATATCCAGAGCTTCCACGAACCAAGCTTAGGATTTCGGCTTTCGCCCTCAGGGCAGGGTTTCGGCTTTAGGATCTGACGTCGTGCATTTGTCCACGCTGCTTCAAGTCAGATATCTGGAGCTAGCGCCAAACCCGAAACTAACCCTGGACCGAAAACCCTGAGGCCGAAGCCCCAAGGCCCAAACGACACTTTAAACTCTAATCCCCAAGCCCTCAAGCCTACATGCCGGGATCCCCAAGGCAGGAACCCTAAGTCCGAAACACAAAGGCCGAAACCGAAACCTTAAAACCGAAATCCTCAGGCCTAAACCCCAAGGCCGAGACCATATGCAGCCGAAACCCTAAGGCCGACGCCCTAAACCCTGAAGCCGAAGCCCTGGGGCCGAAACCTCAAGCCCTAAAGGACGAAACCCCAAAACTCTAGTCCCCAAGCCCTCCATCTGAAGGCCGAATGCCTAAAGCCGAAACGCCAAGTCCGAATCCCGAGGCCCGACCCAGCAGCCGGACAGGCATGGTTCCTGAAGTCGGCCCTCGTGGTTCACGAATTGGGGCCGTCGGTTTCCCGAATTTGGTCGTGTCTGTTCCGATCAGCTGGGCCTGAATTGGTCCATGCAGTTCCTGAATTACGGGGTCACTTCCTGAGTCGGTCTACACTCCGTCTTTGGGGTTTCAGGCTCCCCGCCCCAGAGCCTTTATGACGGTCAAAGGTGTTGTCGACGGGCGTGCCGAGTTGGGACTGGTACGCCTCGAAGAGCAAATTGCTGCCGCGATAACATGGGGCACGAGCGAGCAGGTGTGCTCTTCTGCGGTCCGCGAGACCTCGTCGTTGGGATTGCAGATTCTCTGTATCGCATCGAAGCTCGCCTGTCACAAAGGCAGAAGGTGCGCATCTGAGGTTTACACTGCGGCTTCAAGCTGACGTGATGATGCGCCTGCTTCCGGCTGAAGTACCTTCGCCATCCGTCCTCCGGCTTGCGCCCGACGCCGCCGCGAAGATTCATTTGCCAATCCTCTGCCAGCACTTCAACACAACTCTGACAGCGCTCAGCGCAGCTGCACAAGCTGTCAGTCCAAGGGTCAATGGCGTGCGGATTGCCTGAGGTTCGCCGGACGAGCCTGGGGAAGAGGCGATCGCAACTATGTTTTTGTGCCGCATCGGGAAGTTGCTTGCATTGAACTACCAAACAAGCCCGAAATGTACCAGAAATTCGCAGCCGTGGAAGGGGCTCCAGAATCAATGGATGATCCGACTCCTGGCAAAAATGCTTCTGCGAGCCTGCAAAGCATGTGCGCTGCGTTCGCAAAGTTGTTGTACCGACCAAAGGTGTGGCTGCCTCAGTGGCTCCGCAACCTATTCCGCCCTATCCGAGGTGCTTGGCGCTATGAAACCTTGAAGTCGAGGTTTGGGGCCTGCTACTGAACGCCTTCAGAGCCTTCGGCTAGGAGTGCTCAAAGGAGATCAAAGGCCACTTCATTTAAGCCATCACTGCGACCATGCCGCTATCACCGTAAGGACCCTCTGGATGTCCTGCAGCAGCCGAGGCGTTGACACGCAAGCCAACATTGACATCGTGTGTTGGTTCCGCCATGTTGTGCCAGCTTCAGAAAGCCAACCCTAAACCCTAAACCCAGCCAACCAGTCTGAGGGGGCGTCCTGCCATGGACATGCTGGAGTCATCCTCGGCGGTGTCCCGGCGCTGCACCCTGACGCACAAGGCAGTCCTATGCCCTTAGCAAAACCCTCTTGCCTCGTGACTCGGTTTAGGGTTTTGGGGTTTAGGGTTTAAGGGTGTTTGGGTTTTCGGGTCTTTAGGGTATTTACGGACCCATGCTTCAACAGACCCGTGGGCTGCCTGCGAGCATTCTTGCCGGCACCATTGCCTGCAGCATGAGCAGTGGATCAGGACAAACTAAGGCGAAGATATCGGAGCATGGCAGTGACTCCAAAGGACGGTTGAGGGCAAGGCTTGGCTTCTGAAGTTCGTCCACAAAACTTCCCGAGTCACTGCCAAGACACCGCTGGAACCTCTGGAACTCGACTCGGGCAAAAGATCGTCGAAGGCCTGCCAAGAGGGTCGACCAGGCATGAGGCCCTCTACCGGCTCGCAGCTCGCATCACAGCTCCAACTGTGTCCTTTCGAACGGGTATCATGTCCGCACGCACGCCTGAAATGCATCGAACTTTCCTGAACATGCGCGGGCTTGAACCATTGTCTACAGCGGCTTTGAAGATCCCTTTCACGCTTCGCCTGTTTAGTTGCCTAGAAGTTCACACCGCCTTGGGGGCGTTCTTGACTCTACTTCAGCTTGCAATCTCCTTGCGATGGCACACCATCATGCAAACAAGCCAACGACCAAGGCTTTCAGAGAATCTCCAGAATCTTCAGATTGACTCCAGCGGGACCAGACGAAACTTGTTCATGCTCACTCATGCCCGCTACCCGGCGTGAAAACGACGTCACATCAGTCGCAAGCCAATGGTTGGTGTGGCAGAAACAAATGCTGTCGTGCAACTCTCGCCTAAGTAAACCCTAACTAAACCCTTAACCCTTAACCCTAAACCCGAAACCCTAAACCCCTAAACCCTACACCCCTAAACCCCTAAACCCTAAAGCCCAATAAGCCTAGTACCCTAAAAGAGGTGCCCAGCCAGCCTTGGGCTTGGACCGCATCTTCTCGGCTGGGCAGCCCGGAGCTCGAAGTGTTCTTTTAGGTTCCCCCTTGAATTGGCTCTTTTGATGTTGGGATTTAGGGGTTTAGGGTTTAGGGTTTTGGGGTTTTAGGGCTTTAGGGTTTAGGGTACTTTCATTTTTGTAAGATGCTACAAGGTTAAATACACGGGTTGCTACTGGGATCCGACATGAGATCTAGTGCGGCTCTTGAGAAAGCGAGCAGGGTTTTTTTACCGTCGTGCCCCCGTCTTCTGCTGCATCTGAAAGAAGTAATTACGTGGCCATGCCTTCCTGGAGCTGAACTGCGGCCGAAGCTAAGATCAAGCGAAAAAGCACAAGGCTGATCGGTTCCGGTCGATGAATTCACATGTTCTTGGAGGATGCAGCATGCGGGAGGCCAGCGATTCAGAGGTCGTATGAACCTGAGCCCTGACACCCCTCAAATATGCAGGAATTTGTAATTGGGGCTCCGCAGACGTGGACAAGACAAAAGACAGGACAAGGGTAGCAATAATCCTGAAAGTTGCTCATAATCCTGCAATGCTAATGGATCCTTCATAAAACCCCAAACCCCCAACTCGAAACCCTCACTCCTAGCTATCGGAACGTAAACCCTAAATCCCTATCTCCTAGCTATCGCTTCGTGTGCTTCGCGAAGATTGCGCACTTCTCATCAAAGACCATGGCGGAGTTCCCGCGCGACCTTCCGATTTGGGGTTTCGGGGTTTGTGCTTAAGGGTTTAAGGCTTTTGGGGTTTCAAGGCTTACATGGGATGAAGCCGTTTGGATTGAGGGGGCTTTAGGGATTAGGGATTAAGGGGTTGCTCAGGGTTAAAGGGGCTTAGGGTTCATGGGGTGTTAGGCTTTAGCATTTCTGGGATTTAGGGGCTATGCCTTGGGGTTCAGAGTTCGCTCCGATGCTGCAGTCCAAAGGGCCAGGCAATCGGATTATATGATCATGCTTTGGACCGTTAGGGTTTAGGGTTTAGGGTTTGGGGGCTACTCGTCTGCTGAGTTGGAACCCTTAACCCTAAATCGTAGAAGACTTCATGCTCGGCGCTGGAAGCCTCAAGGATGACTTGGGGCCACAGTCGAAGAGGAAGTCCTGGCAAAGGAAAGTTGGCGACTGAAACAAACTTGCGAGGTGCCCGGGCATTGAAGCATGCGTGCATCTGTAATCATCTTCAGTACCCTTCTAGTATTCCTACAGTACCCTTCAAGTAGTCTTGTAGCAACCCTTATAGTGGCTTTCTGTCTGCAACGGGCTATCCATTTTTGAACCGCCTGCTTTCGACGTAGCCGCCTGAAGCTGGATGATACTTCTTGGGCTGCTCGAGCAATCGCATTCAAGAGATTGGGCATCCCACATGGGGTAATTACTGCAAGGGTGATTGTGAGAGTGCTATAGCCTTCTTCTGCACCGCTCGCACTTAAGCCAAGATCAACGAGGAGCACAGCTAAGCTCGTATCGAATTGGCAATGGAATCGTTCAGAATTGGCACGCAGCAAAGAATGGCAGCAGCAGCGCATTCACGCAACCGGAATCAGAGATTCACCGAATCCCTGGGAATCCACCTCCCAGGACAGCATGGAAGGCGTGCCCTTGTGGACCTTGCGGCATCCAGGGAGCGCACAAGCCGGCACCCCAGCCATGAAAGCAAACTTGGATTTGCCTCCGGCGCAGCGCCGTTCACGTGAACGAAGGAGCCTGTGCTGGCAGAGTTTATCCATAGGCTCTTAAGTAGTTCCTTTTTCTGGTTTATATTTAGAACCCTATAAGGTAGTCCCCAAAAAGGAACTACTAAGGAGCCCATGGGTAGGGTACAATTACCACGTCTTTGAGGTTTGCTAGGCCGTGTTCGCTTGCGCGGACTCAGGCTCCTGCGCATCAGGTAGACAGCCACAATGGTGAAGACAAGGCCCACGAAGATGATGACCTCAGGTCACCGCGCAATACCATAGGGATCTATAGTAAATAATATGGCTTCTTTATTATGGTAACTCAGGTTTAGGGTTCAGGGATTAGGGTTTAAGTTACCATAATAGGGATCTATAGCCCTGCAGCCCTCCAAGCGCAGCCTTCGGAGGACAGTCCGACATCAAACGAGCACGGGGCATATGGGTAGTTTTCGAAAATAGGGTCCCTTTTAGGGTCCTTTTTTATAAGTGGGTGCCGTACTATGTTGGGGACCTAAGAGGGGACCTTAATTTAGAGAACTACCCATATACTGTAGCCGAAAAGTAGACTTTCCGGTTGAGGCTCCAGCGTATTTCCGAGCCAGGACTACAGCGCAGTTGCCAACCTTCAAGCTGCAAACCTGACACTCAAATGCAGCTGTTTGTGGGGGCTTCAATATCTAAAATGAGGTTTGGGGTAATATACTATAGCTAGAAAACTATACTCAGGAACCCCAAGATAGTATTGGTAATCATGTAGGTCCTATGTAGGTCTCTTTATATTACAGAAGCTGGGTCTGTGGGCCAAAACAACAACACACGCGGTTAGGCTGCTTGCGCCTCGGTACGGAAGGTTGGAAACGAGATGCGCGACTTTCGTGCGATGACGTTGAGGCACCGTGGACCTGATTGCAATCGGGCGAGGCCATGCTTTGAGACGTGCTCGATGGCTCTGAGCTGAGCTGAAGGCAGTGGTGAACCACATCCTGTCGTGTGGCGCAGCATGTTGCAGCACGACACGAAACTCAATTCATGCCTGCAGACAGCCTATTTGATCCTTTGATACAGTATGAACCCACTCACCTAGAGCTTCATGCGGGCCCCTAAACCCTGAACCCCTGTGGCCTGGCAGACCCGGGTGGCTGTACGTCTACGTCAGACCCGCGCGCCCGACCTTGAAGGCTGGCCATAGGAGTGGGAGAACCCAGAAGGCCATCCACCCCAGGCTGAACCAAACCACCATCGCCAGGAGCCTGGGCCGTGGACTTGGTGATTGCAAGTTGGCCGATGCAGTCCAAGAATTCCCTGCATGTCTCTCGATTCCGCCGGTCGTTTGCTGTGTCGCTCCCGTGCGGCAACTGGAGCATTCATGTCGGAACGGTCCTCGTCTCGACAACCCAGCAGGTCAAACCGATCCGGGGCTGATATCTACAAGGCTTCGAGATTCGTCTCGTACTGATTACACGGTTTGCTAAACATGCCGGCATGTAAAGACAACTGAAGGTCAAACCATAGAGCCGTAAACAGTTGATTCACGTCTGCTCTTGAGCTTTCTGCGCCTGTCTTCTCGCAGAACTTGCTGCAGGTGCACCGTTGGCGATATTCTCTAGACGCGATGCTATGTCAGCGACCGTTGCAACCCAGATGTTGCCATTGCCTTTCCTTCGTTTGCTCTTCGCCAGCTGGCATCCACATCTGTCGACTAGTTGCCAAGTCCGCTAGAAGCATCAGCCACTTGAGCATGCAGTCTCTGCCAATGTTGGTACTACCCCGAAGAGTTAAAACCCGCTTGAACCCAGCTGATGGCTGATAAATCAGTGCCTCTATCTGTAGCACGCACGATGGATGCTTCGGTGGATGGGTGACACCTTGGACCACCCATACTACTACGCACGACCTATGCATCTGCTAAGTACACACATTGCCTACCTCTGCAAGGAGGGTGCTCCGTGAAGAGAAATCTGGATGCAGATCTCTGGCGGAACGAGACGAAAGCCGAAGCTGTCAAGAACAGGGGTTCCCAATGTATCGACAGTTTCGCACACTCTTTGATTGCCTCGTTCCCTGAATGCTGTGACTCAAAGCTCCCAAGTATTACATGATGACCTGTGCAGCATCCACTTTTGACTTTCATTGCCTTCCGCTTCGTTCGTACAAGCTAGTGCGAACGGCTGGCTCGAAAAGCTTCGTCATATGTTAATAAACTTCAATACACGCTAACTTACCTATAGTTAACATACTACTTTTGACGGACACCTTGGCAAAGCCGGAATTAAAATACTATACTGTAAGATATTACAACATAGTATTTGCAGTAGCCTAGACTAAACCCTAAACCCCCAAACCCGAAACCCT